AAAGATTTTTTATTTTTGACGTATAAGATAAGTGTTTACTTCTTCTTTGAGCAAAGTCAAATGAGTTCGAGTTTATAATTTTTGATCATTGAGAGCGAAGAGCTTCAGCTATGCTCCGTTTGCAGGCAATGCCGAGAATACTGAGTAAAATATTTCGAATTGCAATTTATTCACTAGAAATCTGTCAGTTTCATTTCATACAGTCCATCTCATCTCTGAATAAGTCATTCAGAAATGGATATATTTACATATTTTTACTTTACTCAAAAAAGCAGCAAAGACATAAAATTGCTATGTGCTGTGTAAATGTCTCGAATTTCTCTGGATATATATATATGTGTGTGTTGCATTCCATTTTTTTATGTTAATGAAACGATGAAAAATTTAGAACTTAGCTTATTACTCGACTATTTATAATTTCCAAATTGATGCAGCACATTGTACATGTTTAGACTTTGTCAAAAGACAACATAATCGGAATGGATGACACTCCAAGAGCACATTTATGAAAAATAGTAGTTGTCATAGATTTACTATAAATAAGCAGTTTGATAACAAGACAATAGATATCTCTCAGTGATAATGACTTTCGAATATTTGACAAAGAATTTGTCTAACAAACTTCATTAATCAAAAACAGAATCAAAATGCCTTACTTTCATAAACATTTTAATTCATTTCTAAAGTATTTTAAATCTTCGTATAAAGTAAAAGTATAGATAGATCTCATCGAAAATAATGTTTGATGATGAAAAACAAAGAGTTACTCGAATTGTTAAACTGGATAATACTAACGCTTATAGAACATTATGACACTGATTAAATTGTATTAAACAAGCATCAGTTTAAATGAAAAAATATATTTTAGAAGATTTAATTCATAGTCAAAAGAAATAAGTTTGTTTTCTAAAATTTTTGACATAATTTATTAAGTGCTATTTTTTGTTATGCACTCGAAGCAATACGAAGAATATGGCACAATTGTGTATGATTTGAACAATAATATGAAGAACATCTTTAGATTTTGATAATTATTTTTGTGATATGAACCATTTTGGAAATGAAAAAAATTTTGTCGATAATAAAATGAATATTTCTTTGATTTGTATTCCTTTATATTCTCCAGAGCTATCACTTTCGTGTTATGTACATAAAAAGAAATCATTCAAAGAATTTATGAAGTGAAAATAACACTAATGTTTGTTTCTAGAACGATGTTGGATTAGAAAAGAGTTATTGCTTTGTTTTTCATCTACTGGATTCACTGAAAAGATAGATCTTTAGTTGAAACTAATCTGAAAACTTTGTTTGATACAATATATTAAAGTATTAATAAATCAATTTGATGACTATAAATAATTGGTTTCTTGAAAGAAACAAGAATGAACACTACTCGATGACACTCTAGTGTTGACTCTATCCGTGACATAGATTTGTGTGCATTTAGATGATTTTGGTCATGTGTGAATAATCCATTTGAAAGAGTCTGTCTTTTTTTACTCAACCCTAGCTTTCACAACAAAGAGAATTAATACTACAGTCTGGTCTCAATCTTAAAAGTTGTAAAAAACATTTTATATTGACGATGGACTGTACACCAATGGATAATTTTTTGTTTACCTAACTTCTGCCATTTATAACACTTGACTGATTTGTTATTTATTAGTTAACATTCACAAAAGTATTTATTTTTTTCTTAGTGATATAACTACTTTTTAGCTTTGTTATGTATACTAGNAATATGAAATGAAAAAGAAAACATCAGTTTGTATATCAGTTACCGGAGCTAGTTTACAGATACCATTAGCTCAAAAAGCTTAAACAAATTTCAATTTTAAGTTGCCGAGCTCGAAAAACAAAATCAGTAACTAACAAAAAAAACTTGTAAGTTTTTGCCATAAAAGTCCTATTACAAGGCCACCCTTAATAGAAGGCCACCCTGAAAAGTCCGATGTGAATGTCCATAATAGAAGGCCATGGCCTTTTATTCTGGGGGAGAAGTTTAATTGATTGTTCGTAAATCACTCTATCTTGTTTACTTCCTTATTTCAAATATATATTTCTTTCGCATGAAGTTTTGGCTGGCGCGCTATTCCAGAATAGTTCCAACACTATTTTGCTTGAGGCGCCTTTTTTGTTACTAGGAGAGCCTATCCAATAGCTATTGCTCCCTCTCCGTTGCTAGGAGAATATACTCATTGATGTTTGACTCCAGTAGCTAGGACCTATGGAGGAGAGGGGAGCCGCAAACAACTCGATTTAAGCTTACACTCACTATTTTTCTTTGAAAAAATATGTGAGTTCCGTAAAGAGAAGACTGCTGCTTTATAAAGACAAACTGGATTTTGAAAGTTAAAAAGTGGGCTAGAATCATGTATTCAAGATCTAGAAATCTATGAAAAGCCGACATTTTTATCTCGAACCGAGTTATATTAACGGGTGTGGGGTGTGCATTTTGTCCTTAGTCACACCCATCCACACCCTCACATAATTTTGTCTTCAACTGAACGCTAATTTTCCCAAAACAGAGCACTGATGCTCACAGCTTTGTTGTGGGTATGTATAGTTGCGTAGTGGTAATCAGATGCTTGCGGGCAACGGTTAACGTCTCAATACAGATGCTTACGAGTTATGATATTTCCTTCGCAATATTTTGTGCTATTCCTTGTCCAATTTGCATTTGATCGTGTGCGTGAGAGAGGCACTGAAATTTTCTTCTATGGTTCTTCTCTTGTTGTTGTATGACATTTACATGTAGGAACCATTTTTCAAAGCTTCAAATGTTACATTGTTCATCTTTGACAAAAATGGTTTCATGGTAGTTCTTTTCTCATTTCAGACTCAGTATATCATTGTTACATTCATCTACTTGGTGCATCCATCATCATCTTGCGTCAAATTATTTCTCACTAGTGGAAAGAACGAGATCTGATCAATATCATATTATACATATTATCATATTCGTGGTCGAATAATATTATTTTTTCGATTTGAAATTGTTGGTGCTAAAAATGTCTTCAGGTATTCTTTAGTGGGTGCCATAGAAGTGAAAATTTTTGCTAGTCATATGAGCATATAAAAAGAGCGAACCTTTTACCTCGAAGAAACAAACACTTCAATGACAGTTTGAGTAAGTGTTTTACCTATTAGAAGTATTATTTGAAAGTAATAGGATATTGCTAAGTTCAGAGTTGAATACCTAAATTTTCTGTAAAAATGTATAGTTGATGAATAGATAATATTACTTAATATTTAGGAAAAAAATGAAGATATATAGGAAAAATAAGGTTCCATTTTTTCTAACATTTGTCTTTCAATCAACTTTCGAGTAGAAAAACAAAATTATCCCTACGCTTCAACATGACAATGTGTAAGGTTTTATCTGACGAAATTTGTGGAACGCTTGTCAAAAGAAGACTGGAAATTTATTGGATTCGATTTTTTTGAATTTATCTTCGTTCACATGTATTTGACAGAGAAACAGTTAGTTTTGTCTCCTTCTACTCCTTCCCTCTATCCCTTGTCTCTGTTTATCTCCCACGTCAAGGAATTCTTAAATATATGTGCATTATAGAGCAACAACAAGAATCGACCAATGACTCAGAATGTTCCAAAGTCGACGTGGAAAAAATTTTTTTTGAAAATGGTGCTTCGCCGGAGTTGATATTGTCGGAATTATCTGATCAAGACATGATTATTGCTGCCAATAAATTACGAAATAACGAGGTGAGAGAATAAAATTTTCTTGTCGAGGATTATGAAATGGCAAATTTTAGACATGTATATAACCTACTATTTTGTATATTTTTCTGATGCGTCTCGTTATGCACTGGTTCCTTGTGCTATTTGACAGACACAACTTAGTTCGAATACAGAAGTGAATAGAATCAACACTCATCTTTTGATTAGCATACCTTCAATAAATAAAGTAGATTAGTTTTTGTTGATTTCAACAATCATTCAAAATAGTTAATTCTGTTCTACGTTGCCTGATAGTTTGGCTTTCTTGCATTTAAAAATATCCAAGTCAGTATTTTATTTCTTACAAAAAGTCAGAGATAAAAAACGATAAAAATACTATTTTATTACATCATTACCATACAAGGTACTAGAGTTCTAGTATGAATACGATATCATTGCACGGCCGTAGTCTTGCATTCTCGAAAGGAATCAGACTTGATATCTGACAGACATAATATTTGATCAGACATCCGATATAGGTCAGAAATTGAATTGGTAACGTTTCACATCCTGCACGAAGTAGGAATAGCACATATTTTTATTGTTTCATTACTGTACTCAGTAAAACAATGTCTTTGATTGTCACCGTACAAGTAACAAGTAACGCAATGATGTTTGTCATTATAGTTAACCATTTTTAAACACCAGTACAGGAGTGTTCCAAAAGTCCGCTCGGAAACAAAACATAAAGGGTGTTGGTGGGTGTATGGGTGGGTGTGTGGGTGTAGGTGTGGATGGGTGTGGGTGCTGGTGTAGGTAAAAGAAGAGCTGTACCCATAGTCACACCCACCCACACTCACACCCTTTTACAGCTATATATTGAATAAACAAATTATACCGTTGATTTTCATGGAAAATAATACTTTTGTGTTCATTAAACAATTCTGTTGAAAAAAGATCAATTCAGACCAATAAGAACATTTCTTTTCAATCTAATCATCACGATTGAATAAAATGTTTGAACAATTAATAAATGAACATTTATCTAATGGAAGAAACAATTTTAAGTATTTAACATGTGGAAATTGATGAGCGAGAATTGACATCTCTTTTTCATCACGCAAACAACGTTCAACAATTAAATGATGAACAGAAGGTTGAATTGCTGAATTTATCGAAAAAATAGCTAAAAATATTTTATCAACAATTATCTTTTTTGATAAAAGACACGTGGTTTGTCTGAAAAAATTAGTTTGTGAATATGAAATGGCAATTTAATATCAATCAATAACTTATTATTTTACAAGCATAATCAAATTCTGTATTTAATAGAATAAATTCGCTGTCTTTTGTAATTGTCATAGGTTTCATATTTTCAGGTCTTTTAATATCTGACGATACACTGTTGGTTTTGTGCCAACTCTGACAACAGTTAATTGTTGTTTATCATTTTTATTTGATGGCCACGGTAAAGAATAAATATGTATCCATTTACAATCTTCCTCACCATAATATGTAATATTCATTAGCCATCGAACAAAATCTTCAATTCATATTTAATTAGCTATTGGATGTTTCATTATATAGTGAAATGGACGAAGATGTGGAAGACATTCACTTAAAATTGATTCAAATTTGGAACCATGACAAAATCGTAGATCAAATGTATCATAAATATTTAAGGTTAATTTAATTAAATTTTTCATATAAGCAAGAATAAGTTTGATATCATAAATAAAAAATTCAATAGATGATTTGAATAATGTAAACTCAGTTAATTGAGAACATGTTCATACTGCAGTTTGAGGACGATGACGAGCTACAACAGAAATATATTCAAAGTTAGATAAATGATTATCTGAATAATTTCTTCTACAAATGATGAAAGCGCATAAGAGGACAAATCGAAGGTACTATTCACATTACCATAAGAGATTCAAAAAGTGATAGATCAAAATAAAGTATTTAAAAGTCTAAAGTACAAAAATATTGTATTTATTTATAAAAACTCTCATTTTAATCTTTGTTTTTCCTTAAAAAATATCTCTTTAAGTATTCACTATGTTACTTTGTTGAATGTTTTTCTAAGTTTCAAAACAACAAGTTTAGATAAATATTTAATGCGATAGAGTCAACAGAAATTGTATCAGAAGTGTGTACTCTTGGTTTTTTTTATTACATATCTAAAATTTTGAGAAGTTGATATATGTATATAATAGCAGTGATTTTGAACAATTTCAAATGACTTTCTGTTATCGAAATCAGTTTGTTCTCCCTTGATTTTCTTCTCATGTATACGCGAGAAGAACCATCAATTTCTCCGCTCTAGGAATGTATTACTCATAATTTACGAAGTATTTTTCTCAGTAATTACATTTGCTTCACTTAGTATTACTAATATAAATACATGGTTTAATTATACCCAGAAGGAGAGAGAATGCACTTTTCTTATATTCTTTTCTCCATGTCGATCGACGGATGTATAAGGCTGAAATTACAACTGTGAAAAAATAACTACTCATTTGCTCTTCAATCAACAATTTACCAATACTCATCCTCGAACCGTCGAGCGTCATCAATCGAAAATGATCAATATTAAAATATTCATGCTCTTAATTACAGTACTGGTATCGGTCGCAGCTACTTGCATGACGCGACATACTGAAGGTGATGGACGAGACAATAGTGCTGATATGAAGCGCAAATATAGTCTCCATGAATTAATTGGTCGATCTAGTAATTACTAAACGTAGTCGCAGTATTAGTTTTCCTAATATTTCTTGTTTTGGAATGAATTGTTTCCGTGGTCGAGGATAAAGTGACATGTAGGTTGTGTCAATATAAAATATTTTCCTCATCGAGAATACTCTCTGATCAGACCCCAGAGGATCCAATGATTTCCTATGAAAATCTAATATTGAGATTGGTTTCGGTTATGCCACTCATAGACAAAAATTTTACATAAATAAAGTTCATTCACACTTTCTGATTTTATCATCGTAATTAATATGTTCTCTTTAATGAATTAATTTAATATTGTTTTTACTTTGTAGAAAATATGGTACGCACACATATATCGAACATGATATATGCAATATCATCGGTCATCGTAGAACTTTATCCATTCGTATTCTTTTATTCATTTTATTTGTACTTTTTCATTATTTAATTTTAAGAAAATGTGTGCGCCTATGTGAAATGATGAATTTATGTTCGCATTTTCACAATTTGTTCAGAAGTGTTCGTGCAAGTGCACAATGTCTAATAGTTTACAGCAGGAGTTAAAACATTCTGACATTTTGCTCTTCGGTCAGATCGAAGTCCCCGATTATCCAAAAATCCCTCTAATTTTGTAGANTTGTGTTCTAGCCTAAAAGGTGTGTTTGGAGAAAAGTGAAAGAAGCTATGAACCTCGTTTTGGATCAAGATCATGTAGCCGAAGATTCAGCTCGATACGATGTCTTCTTGATTTTTAAAGTGGGAAAGAAATGCAACACCACCTTCTCAACTTTTGACCTCTATTTGACTGTGAAGATGAATTTTGAGAATTGTTCACTTGTTTCCGTGGTCGAGGATAAAGTGACATGTAGGTTGTGCCAATATAAAATATTTTCCTCATCAAGAATACTCTCTGATCAGATCCCAGAGGATCCAATGATTTCCTATGAAAATCTAATCTTGAGATTGGTTTCGGTTATGCCACTCATAGACAAAAATTTTACATAAATAAAGTTCATTCACACTTTCTGATTTTATCATCGTAGTACACATGTTCTCGTGAAATGATGAATTTATGTTCGCATTTTCACAATTTGTTCAGAAGTGTTCGTGCAAGTGCACAATGTCTAATAGTTTACAGCAGGAGTTAAAACATTCTGACAGTTTGCTCTTCGCTCAGATCGAAGTCTCCGATTGTCGAAAAATCCCTCTAATTTTGTCTAAAGAATGAGATGTATTGATATTTCTTGTTTTTCTTTGCGTCTCGATCGTTAAAAATAAATGAGAAACGATTTATGATCAAGATAAATTGCATTGATCGACTTCTTATTGCAGCTATTGAATATCACGGGAGTGAAAGATGTTAGTTTAAAGTTTACTCATTTTACTTTAAAAAATGCTTTCAATTTGAATATACACGAATTTAGATTGAATTTCTACGAATGAAACGACGATCAATATACGAGATCGACATGGACAAAAGAGATCGGGGATCATTATCAAAATCATCGGAGATATCGAATCATTTTTCTACGAATCGTACAAGGTGATTGTGGTCAAATTTCTTACCTATTCTTTTTCTTGATTAAATTCCATAATGTCTCTTCTAGGGTGCCATCGAAGGTCCAATCGAATTTATTGAATGTCGAGTATTTCATCTGTAGCCATGTGTATTGTAAAAGCATGAGTTTTATCCAAAAAGAGAATTATCGATATAGATTTTAATGTGAGCAAGTTTCTGCCGGAAATATCACAAATCATCGAATTTTTGTAGTTGTTATGATACTTTAGGGTTTTCAACAATTATTACAATAAAAAAATCTGAATAATGCTAAACACTTCACTGAAAGTTCGATATATATCAAGAAATGAGCTATCTTCATATATTTCTTCTCAGCTGTCAAGTGACTGAAGCATTGGCTGCACTTGGTGATGGGATGGTTGTTACGTTCACTTTTCTTTGACGTCTGTTCATTTCGCCACATTCATTTTTTTGCTTAATGGAGATGTTCGCTCATTACGCTGTCAATAGCTACTCTTCTTTGATTTTCTTCCTCACTTAAGTAACATATTACAATACATGATTGGCAGAATATCTTTCTTGAGCATACAGGAAAAGCGTCGTTCCTTGTCTTCATCGAAAGGGAATGTTTTGTGCTTTCTCAATCGAAATGTTTCCTGAAAGCTTTGCACCATTTCTGCGGTTAATCAACAAAATCTTTATGTTCCTTTTTCTGTCATAGACGGCGTGACGATGAGGATGATTATGATTTCCTTCTTTCATCCTTATCCTCCCTCTCACCAAAGAAAAATCAAAATCTGCAATTTTTATTTACAAAATACACAGAAAAAACAGTTAATTTTAATTTGCTTTAGGTTCTAATTTCCCTTGTAACATATATGAAACGATCAAAGCCAAACAGTCAAAGATTTACCATCACAATGGCCATGAAACGGGATCGATCTCGATTTAAGTTCTGTATTGTCAGCGATCCACATTTTGATGGACTTGTAGTCATGAAAATCCATTGGAATCCAATTCGTACGAAGTAATTTAAAATCAGGCCTTTGTTGAACATCAAATAGTATATCAAGACTGTCGCGAAACACGGCAGCATTTGATCGAAATTGAATATGGAGGGAATGAAGATTGGGAAAACACGGCATAAGCGAAGTAATTGTGTTCACATTATTGACGTAAAAATTGGAAATAGTCAAGTGGTGCACATGTGAGCAAATAATTGTCTTGAAGTTAGCACCATTGTCATTGATCAGTGTTAGTGTATTGATGCGTTGTGCGAGACAAGAAACCAATTCCATGTTATTCGTCACCAGATGTCGAAGTCGACGAAAATTACCAAGATCAGGTTTATGTGTTGACAGAACGGTGAGAGTATGAATGTTAGGAAAACGATGAGACAAATTCATACCATGACATGGTACGTCAACAATGAGTGAGACAACTTTAGAACATACACTCGTAGCATCGTCTTCGGCTAACATCGACAGACTGCAATGTTCAAGCGGCCATGGTATCGTGTACACATGTCTGTTCTCATGGTTGAATGTCACTTGGCACGCAATTGGCCAGCGTTTTGTTAGTTGAGCAAAACTCTTCAAGAAAAGATGAATACAATCAAAGATATAGTATATATTTCAGTGTCTGTTAAGTACCTTCATGTCAATTTGACAACTTGTCTTCACATAATAGGAAAAATATCGAAGTCGAGCCATGCATTCATCAAGTAGCATCTCGATCTGATTGCCTTGTGTAAAGCGAATATCACTCGTCGGTCCTCGAATGATGAGCGAGAATGAATCGAGTTGGGTTAGAGGTGCGACAATATCGTGTAGAAGATCAAAAGAAAAATCAATTTGTTCGTTAATACTCAGTCGAAATTCAGTCATGTGACACATTCTTTGACGTGGCCACATTGGTGGTAATGGCGATCGAGTACGAATACGAGAATTGCATAGAATTACATTGAGCGTGATCAAATTGGGTGCGAGACCATCAAGTAGAACAAAAAGGTCATCGATTGTTCTCAATGAAAGAGTCAAGTGTTTTAGACATTTGTTTGAACACAATTGTTTGTCCAAAATGATGCCCATCTGCGTAGTCAATTCGAGTTCAGTAAGTTCACGAAATTTGTTGGCAAACATCAAATTACGCAATTTTTCGATAGTTAAATAGTTGATTGATGACAAAGACGAACGAGACATTGACTCGACAATACGAAGTGATTGTAAATTATGGAAATAATCATCAATGTAAATATTTATAAGAGTTATACATTGTTCGGTGCAAGCGAGTAATTCTAGTCGCTGTATATATGTGCAGTAGGACTTACATGAGACACAGGTAGATATGAACAGTTCGACCTGTGACGGAATCATGGCATTACTGATTGTCAAAGTCGATGGACGAAGTGTCAAGTGAAGCATCTGATTCACCATATATTGATAATCAGCGTAGGAACATTTTGTCAAATTGAGATTCGTGCGATAATTGAAAATACAACGAAAAAGACGATCGTTATAGTTCATAAACGCTTTGAGTACATGAGTCGGCTTCAAATAGGAACAAATGATGAGTAACAATTCATCAGGCAAATCGTCAAAATGAGCCATGCACTCGTATAGATATTTCTCAAAACGTCAATTTTGTTTTCTAAAGTATGTTTTGAAAATAAACGGAAACGAAAATTCCTCGTTTCATATATTGCTGTTATTAATTCAAGACCATACCTTATTTTGTTTTGACCCCTTCTGACTTGTGTATGGTACTATCAGTGTCACTGGTCGAATCATGCAACAAGAATAGAAATATATACACTTGTTCGTCGTCATTATATATATTATGACCTAGACGATCATAGCAGACGACGATCATGATCTATTTCTACAAAGATGATCGTGCTGTTGGACATTAAACAATGGCGATCATTGTTTTGCTGCGAAATCAATAGACTAATCGAATGTTGGTCGAGTAAAGAGGTCAAATCTAGTTTTGTGTCAATACAATACAAAGAATGACGCGATCTAAAGAGATTCATATCATCGTGGGGTGGGTGTGGGTGTGGGTGCAAGTGTGAATGTTCAAGAATAGAAGATTTACACCCACACCCTTTGTCAGCTGCTGAAGAATAAGAAAATTTTCTTAATATAAGTAGCAAAATAGACATATCCTTGATATATTTTCTTTTGGTGACATCTCAAAATTAAAAGAAACTGATTCGGATAAAATTCGAGATTGAAGTGAAACGGGAGCAATTTTGCTAATCATTTATTGTTGCCATTGTGTATCATCATCAAGTTGTGCTTTTTATTTCTATTATTATCATATAGTATATAGGATTGGACCTTTGAACTATTTAATCTGTAACATAATTCATGTAAATAATCATTTCCATTAGATATATAAGAAGTTCATGTTGCTTTTTCGTCTAAACTTTAAACATAAAAATCATACTTCTCTGTCCTTTGAATTATTTCAATTTTTTAAGTCAAATAACCAAATGTACTAAATATTTTCATTTCGACTTGAATTTTTCTTTTAATTTGAATACAATCGGAAAGCATAGAGAAGCATTATTGATGTAGGAAAAATAGACAAAATAATGATTTAACCTCAAAACAGAACTGTAAAGTAAGATTCTCATTTGAACTTCAAGGTAAAGATATAGTATCAAAGATATTTGATAGGGTTTTTAATGTTTCATTTGAAGAGACTCATGATGACGATTCTTGCATAAGTTCATTTTAAAGAATTTTGACTATTGAATCTGTTGCATGCTGAAGAATTCACAGGAGAATACAAGTTTTTCATAATTTTCTTATTCTATCATGTTGCTTTCACTCTATTTGTTTCTGTTTTAGATTGACTAATTTGACTTTTCATTTTCACACTGATCACATAAATCCTATTGCTTTCTTCAAATGAAAATCGCAAACCGAACGTATCGAGATTTACGAAATTCCAATCGATACGATAATGAATTCATTGAAATCCATCGAGATCCATTTGAATTTACTGAACTTCGGCAAACTACAGGAAGCACTTTTTGTCTTAAAACATTTCAACACTATGTCTCTAAGTACTAAGAAGTCATGAATTCTTAGTTTTACAAGACTGCTATATGTCAATGTGCATCCTTTCATAATCTGATCCAATCTGGTGAATTTCTTAGATATTTATGAACTGTAGTAAACTCTGAAATATTTTTCGGTCCAGTAGAATTCATTAGAATCTTGTATCTATTCATTGGTTTTCTCTAAATCAAAAAGCATTCACAGTTATGACGGAAGCGTATTTAAAAATATAAACGAGTTTGAAGAGCATAGCACTTCATAAAATAAATGTTGCCATTGTTTAAACTTCTATACATTTTTCGAGAAAAAAACATTATTTTCTTCTGTGTGAGGATCCGGAAAAATCTATGTAATATTCTTGATCTTCATCATAAAGTCAATAAACTATAGTGCATTCGAGAGTGAATACTTTGCTCTATCTAATGAGCTATAAATCACAAAATCGATAAGCTCGACCGAAGTTGGGTTTTTCTGAGGAGGAGACGCCCCTTAATATGTTTTAGAAACGAAATATAATGTCCATGATATTTTTGTATGAATATGTTATTTTAATCTATATCCAGTTGCAAAATTATCTCATTTTGTAGATTCACTTCGAGATATTGCTATTATATCCTCAAATAAGAAAAGTTCGATACTGAACAATTCAATCAATTTATTTTGATTATTTCCTTATATTTAAGTGAAAGCAATACATAATAATTTGAAAAAAAATATATGATAAATAAATGAATTGTTGAAAAATAAAGAATAGTAAAGAAGTAGGATGCATTAAATGTCTATCTAAAGTTAATTAACTAGTACAAATTGGTAAAAAAATCGTTGAAATATAGAATATCATTAGTGATCGTTACAGTACAATATATGTGTCAAAGAAAAACCAAACAATGAACAAAGGTAAAGACACATTCAATGTTACTTTAACATAACTATTCATCGATATATTTTTTATTGAGAAGAAACAATACTAAGTTGATATTCAATAATCGTTCTTGATTGATATTAGATTTTTAACTTAAAATAAAAGAAAACATTTAGACACTTTCTATGTTTTATTATTATTTTGATGAGTGACAATTATGCTGTAAGTGATGTTGTTCCTTTTTATACCTTTATTATCATTATTTATATGAATTTTTGTTCTATTAAAAAAATAAAACTGTTAATGGTTATCCGTTTTTTCGTGAATTCATTGAGCAGAACTTTCATCTAGATGATATATATTTTAGTGAGATTTCATGAATCCGATTCTTCTGGAATGTTTTAATAAAGGATATTTGAATGTCCAATTATGATGAAATAATAAATCTTTTTGCATTTGATAACTTTTATGTATAAATCGAAAATTTCCAACTTTGTTGTATTTAATATGATGTAGAAACAAAGACTTCAAGTTGTCTAATAAATATTATTTAGTAAAAGTCATTTTATACCTTAACAAAATTTAGTTAGTTGGTTGTATTAGATCTATCTATACTGCTGTTGCTTTTTTAAAGGTCAATCAATTCTATCATACAAATTGATATCAACCGTACATGTAATGACAAATGTAAAAACAGTTTATCATTATGCGTAAAATGTATCAGATCTTTACTGATGATGAGCTCATTCTCAAATCATATTTTCAACATGAACAAAAAATTTAGTGAAAATCTTATAGAAAAAAATTGAATAATGATTTTTAAAAGCTTTTACGTCACTATATTGATCAATGAAAATGATAACGAACTATCGTTTTTTTTTCTCAATAATCATATAATCTCTTTTGTAAAACATAAACATTGATTTTCTCTAGTTTTATAGTTTGAAGTTATATACTTCTTTTTTATAGAATGTGGCAGAATCACTTGTCAATAGTTGATTTATTACTTGAATAAACTTCTTATATCATTATAAATAGTCGAGGAAAAAATGTTTCTTATCATATAATTTTGTGTTTTTGAAAATTCTTTTTTAAGTGATGATACACCATAGCATTTCTGTAATTAGTCATAATCCACGCGATAGTGCTTAACAAATATACTCTGTTGACCTCAATTATGTGCAGTTTTCTTTTTTTTCAACTGTTTTGTCTTGATGAATTTTTTTAGATAGAGATGAAAGCATGGTTATAATTATGCGTGAGCGTCATAGATCTCAAGAAATGTGTCTCCGATTGATGTAAATGCAAAAACTTTGTTGGATCAAAGCCAACCGATTTTTAAAGGTTTTGAGCATTGATATAAAAAATATCAGAAACACTATTTAAAATTTGTATTGATAGTAGCACTCAAAATTGATAATACACTCCAGTCGAAAAATGGATGGATATACTACTTCATATTTCATCTTTTTCAATAAGAAAACGCATTTTAATAATAGTTTAATAATACCTTCACTCGCTTTCCACTTAAAACATTTTAAAAATGGAT